CTGATATCACAGCTCCTCCCTTGTGGGTAAGTTTATTCGCTGTCAGTCAGGGCTGTACAACTATTGTTTAAATTCCCACGCTCACATTCTACAGGTTCAATTCATCTGACCAGAGCAAATAAGACAAGTCACACCTCTAGTCTACTTCACCTGTCATCACAATAAAATCCGACTTTGTCAATTCTTCTGCCAACACTTTCCGCTCACTGTGTCAATAGTGACCGTCTGACCGGCACTCCAGTTTAGGTAACCTCAGGGGGAGATAATGGCAATTAGCCCTTGTTATCTGTTCCTGAAGATCTGGCAGGGGGAATAACTATCTGACACCAACAAATGGTGTGCAAATCTCCAGTCAGTAAGTCTGCTTGGTCAGTCTTATCTCTGTACCTTAACACTTAACATCTGGGGAAAAGTTTTAGTGTTTGATATGACCAACGGTCCAGGAGAATTAAAGGTGTGATGTGGTCGTCATTAAGGATGTATCCAAATCCCTATTTGTCTGTATACTTCCAAAATACAAAGAAATAAAAGTAGGTTGAGGAAAGACATTTTGGAGTCACCGAGCGTATTGTCACAGAGTTACACTAAAACGTTACAACGGGTATAGAGCGAGTGGAAGACCTCGGAAAAAATGGAGTGATGGCATTAAGAACAGCCTTACAGAAATGAACATCAGTCTTAACAGTGCTCTTGACAGAGCTCATCAGCGAACATTACATCTCCCCCCGACACTTTGATGAGGTACAAGGTGAAGAAGAAGAAGAAGAAGAAGAAGAAGAAGAAGAAGAAGAAAAGGAAGAAGAAGAAGAAGCACATTATTTAACAACAAAGTTTGAAGTGGCGAAACAAAAATGAAAAAAAAAAAAACTTACCATGCGAGGGATTTAAATGAAATTAGAAGAGGTATCACATACATGAAATACCCGAGGGCTTCTTAAAGGGCAGAGAAATCAGGGCTCACATTTTTAATACAAGAAGCGTTAAGTGCCGCTAGTGGCCAAAAGTTTCAGCCACCTATTACTTAACCGATATGTGCATGTTTTTACGGAGCATTGCATCAACTGTTAATTGAGGTCACACTAACTGCAACCATTACAGTCTGTTGCGTCGTCTGAACATTAACAACACAGTCTCTGGCTGTTTTATTGTTGTTTGGTTGTTACAACCGTATTTCTCTGATGTTTATGGTCGCAGTTAAATGCCTACACAACAGCAAAAACAACAACAAAAACAACTATGAGGTGCGGGGGGGGGGGGGCACAAATGTTACTTTCCATCATTCAAAAAGCTGATGGAAATAGTAATATAACTTTGAGGACGGTAAATGGAAAACACTGTGTTCCTACTGACTGCAGCAGACGGCAGTATACAACAATACCAATCGGATTGTATTTGTTTGTTAGAACGAAAGAAGAGATGCGGACGTCTCAGAACAAAACAACCCCCTAGAGACGCTGGGGTAATAAAGTCCAACTCTCTGACAGCTTTACGTTAGAAGATTCGACCCGATTTGCATTTTCGAGTTGACTGCGTCTTACAAATTAGTGAATGATGTTGCACTGAAATCCACAGCCCTGGCCGAAAACCAATATTAACATCAGAAATTAGAAGGAATCGCTAGATGTCTCGGACTTCCGCTTCTTTTCTTGGTCCAAAAAGGTGCCGTCCAAAAAGTACCAGGTGATCGCATTTTGAACCACCGACTTGCTAAATTATTGTTAACAGAAATATCGCATTCTACATTCCGGTCTCCATGCAGCTGTTTGAATGGCGGAAAAGGAGAGGTGAGATTGCATCTCTTATCACATATCTTTTCTGTTTGTGCAGAAAACCTAATGAGAAATATCAAAATAAGATCAAACATGTACCACTTTATGCAACTTAAAATTAGCAGCAATTCAATTTCGGGACTCTGGGAGTGAGCCGTGGGCTATCTCGAAATTTTTAAGGAGGAAAATCCGTTTTTTTTTTTTTAATGCTCAAATACGCTGGTACTACAGAATTTGTTTTAGAACACCTTGTACCATAGTGCAAAAAATATTGATATTTTAAAAGATCCGAACCTTAAAGACAACTGGCTGGTAAACAGCATCCTGTCTTGGAAAGTGAAATACTTTGGTCATATCAAACATTGCAACGAAGAAGCGTAATGTAAATATTGCATTGGAGATGAAAGGCCGCTGCCGATAAGAAGAGAAAAATGTTGGCAAGAAAGTGATTAAGGAGGAGAGCTGGCAAGTTACGGAGTTATTGTCTCTTCCCTCTCCCCCTTGTTTCTTTCCAGGCGAGCTTCAGTGTAAGCGGCATTGTGTAAAAGACTTGCTACATGCTGATGGAAATGTCTCCGAAAAGCAAGTCAGTTTACAGTCATAGCCTGTAATACGTACCAAATGCTGCCATACTTAGCAGACAACACTGGGCGACTGTTGGCAACAAGTTCAAAGCACTAGGGACAAAACAAGTTTGGAATTCCGTGACAATACAAAATAGAAACATGAATCACCTTTAACGCCAGAAAACCAAGAAACAAGATTTTAAACTGCAGCTGTTAAAACTGAAGCTCCTAATAAAATACATATGAATTACAAAGTGAAAAAAAAATGGGGGGGGGGGGGGTGTATTAGGACATATAAAAGACATTACTTAGAGGAACAAGGACAGATAAAAGACATTATTTAGAGGAACAAGGACATATAAAAGACATTACTTAGAGGAACAAGTACAGATAAAAGACAGTATTTAGAGGAACAAGGACATATAAAAGACATTACTTAGAGGAACAAGGACAGATAAAAGACATTACTTAGAGGAACAAGGACAGATAAAAGACATTATTTAGAGGAACAAGGACATAAAAAAGACCTTATTTAGAGGAACAAGGACATATAAAAGACAGTATTTAGAGGAACAAGGACATATAAAAGACATTATTTAGAGGAACAAGGACATATAAAAGACAATATTTAGAGGAACAAGGACAGATAAAAGACATTATTTAGAGGAACAAGGACATATAAAAGACATTACTTAGAGGAACAAGTACAGATAAAAGACAGTATTTAGAGGAACAAGGACATATAAAAGACATTACTTAGAGGAACAAGGACAGATAAAAGACATTACTTAGAGGAACAAGGACAGATAAAAGACATTATTTAGAGGAACAAGGACATATAAAAGACATTATTTAGAGGAACAAGGACATATAAAAGACAGTATTTAGAGGAACAAGGACATATAAAAGACATTATTTAGAGGAACAAGGACATATAAAAGAAATTATTTAGAGAAACAAGGACATATAAAAGACATTATTTAGAGGAACAAGGACATATAAAAGACATTATTTAGAGGAACAAGGACATATAAAAGACATTATTTAGAGGAACAAGGACATAAAAAGACAGTATTTAGAGGAACAAGGACATACAAAAGACATTATTTAGAGGAACAAGGACATATAAAAGACATTATTTAGAGGAATAAGGATATATAAAAGACAGAATTTAGAGGAACAAGGACATATAAAAGACATTATTTAGAGGAACAAGGACATATAAAAGACAGTATTTAGAGGAACAAGGACATATAAAAGACAGTATTTAGAGGAACAAGGACACATAAAAGACATTATTTAGAGGAACAAGGACATATAAAAGACATTATTTAGAGGAACAAGGACATATAAAAGACAGTATTTAGAGGAACTCGGACATATAAAAGACATTATTTAGAGGAACAAGGACATATAAAAGACAGTATTTAGAGGAACAAGGACATATAAAAAAAACAGTATTTAGAGGACCTAGTGACAGAGGTAGAGTCAGCAGCAACAATTCGAGTGATCTAAGACATGTCAAGTAGTAGGAAAATATAATCAAACACGAGGACTATGCTAAAAATAGCAAGCAGGGGAATGTTATCAGCATTATAAAAGACAAAATAAAGATTTGATTCGAGTCCTGTTTGGAGAGACCAGCCCAAAAATACTGCGAAGTAGAGACGAACAATGTTTTTGTCAGTTCCTGGCAAAGTGTTAGCGGGATCTTTCTGGGCAGTTGAAACTATTCAATTGGTATCCTGAAATGGCCAGTCAGACACTTGACTCCTAATAACCGGGTAAAGCACTTGACTAAACTGTACACTTTATACTTGGTTTATGGACTGTGCTAATTCCTATGAAACTACTGAGCAGGAATCTGTTCGGACATCGATGAGACACTGTAGGTCCCCACAAGCAATGTCAACAATTGTAGATTTCAGAGGTTTATGTCTACCTGTGTTTGTTTATCGTCTTTAAATATCGTATTGCCTTACTGTAGTTACTATAGCGTTACTTTGTTTCCTGTTGTTGTTTGCTATTGTAGGCTTGTCACCGCAAGACCCTTTGTGTGTTTTTAATTTTGTTGTTGTTGTAAATCTGACCTCTCATTGTGTTTTCCTATTGCCTACATTTTCTGTTTGACCGCAGCTCAAGCGATTTAACTGATCAATGTTTCTGGTGCTCCTCAGGCGTGATCATCGCGTGCATATGGTTGCTCAGCATCACCTGGTCACTGATGCCATTGTTTGGGATAGGCACCTATCGTCTGGAGGGTCTGGGAACATCGTGCACGTTCAACTACATTGATCAAGGTCACACATATCGATTGTTTTTCTTATGTCTGGTGACCTTCAACTTCTTCATTCCGTTGTTAATTATAACTTATTCTTACGCTCAGATATTTGCATATGTCAAACGAGTGAAGAGAGAACTCAACTCTCTGGAAACGGTGCCAGACGCAAAGGCTCGACGAAAACAGATAACAACAAAAGCTGAAATCAGAACGGCGATAACAGTAATAGTGGTTATAACTATTTTCTGTACAGCGTGGACGCCCTATGTGGTTATTGCATTTATAGGTTTGTTCGGACCAAGAAACAGCATCACGCCTCTAATTTCAGCCTTTCCCAACGTTCTTGCCAAGGTTTGCACAATCTCTAATCCAATTCTATACACATTTGGCAACAAAGATTTAAGAAGGAAGACGAAGGCTTTATTCCTGTTCAAACCCAGGCAGTCCTCACTACGTTCCACTTACGCAACTGCCGGTATCACCATCCAAGAACATTCCTTGATAAACCATATACCAATGCATTCATAGATAGCGGCAAGACGAGAGCGACCGTGGCAGCCCCGACATTTTTGCACTTTAACAAACGCTACCTGTTTCTAACAACAAGACACTGTTGGTGTCTATCCTCCCGTTTCCCGTTTACATTCTAGAGGGTAAACTGAAAGCAGACTTCACCAAAAGAATTCAATGTCTCTTCTGTGCCAGGAATGTTCAGTAGATTATTAAAAAGAAACATGCACAGAGAGAGTGCATGGAATGTCTTGCAGGTTATCAGAAGCCTGTAACAGTTTACCCAGCTTATGTCAGGTCTGCCTAATGTTACTGCATAATGTTACTAGCATTGAAATTTTGCTGGTGTCGCAATGTTACAGCTTGGAGAATACTGACTATTCTTGGGATAGACAAAATGAATAACTTTTTTCAAAGAGGCTCAAGCAAGAAATTTCGAAAATCAGAAAGACGCAGTCATCATTTTCCTGCACATTATAAAAAGAGACAGATTGGAAAATGTGACAACTGGGAATATGTGTTTTAAAAAAAAAAAACAGAGGCCGACAGAGAAAGAAAATATTTTCCCAACTTTTTGTCACAGCATGAAAGGATATCACAAAATGTAGATGAATAGAAGTGGAGACGCATATATTTCATGTTGCCTAGTGGCTAGACGCTCGCCTGGGGATCGGAAGGTCGTGGGTTCAGACCCTAACCGTGCCGGACTTTTATTTGAAAAATGACATTGGATTGCAGGTCGACGTAGCTTTGAATGGGTACCAGGCGGAGTCTTGGGAAGTAACGGCGGCCGGCGTGATGCTGACTACATCACCCACCAAGTGCATATTGGGTTATGAAATATAGGTCTAGTCATGTATACCCAATAAGCCTGAAGGCTTGAAAAGGGTCCTTTACTTCCACAGGTAATAGGAAAGACACTTGCTGATGATGATAATGATAACGATGATGTTGTTAATGATGGCGGTGTTGGACCATTTTTAAGGGTGATGAACATTAGAGATAAATGTACAGGTATAGAATGGCAGCCATATAGTTTGTTATCTGTCGTGCTTGTATGGTAATAATTTCATATATATTTACCCAAAACGAACAAAAAATACAAATGTTGGCTTTAGGAAGATTTTTTTAGTTTTATGTGTTTGTAGATTATTGTTTGTTGACAGAACACTTCATATTGTAAAAAATCTAGATTGTGGTAGATATTATTATACTTTATGGTTTAATGTGTATTGTCAGCGAAGTAAAACTGACACTAAATAAAAATAAACAAACAAACGTTGGAAACATATTTCATGTTGCGTATGAACACAAGAATGTAATTGTTGAGTGCATTCAAGTTGTTCAAGATGCAACTTCTCTCTGAATACTGCCATTATCTGCTCTTCGTTCTGTCCTTTTACCAACCATTCAAAGATGCCGCACGCAGGTCACTTTCCATCGTTCGTCCATGTGAGAGCTGTTTTGGCAGGTATATCAGAAGTCATTCTCATAACGTGGCCAAGCCATTTCCATCTTCTCTTGGTAATCATACTGTCTAAAGTTTCTTGGTTTGTGGCTAGAAGTAGTTTAGTGTTTGAGATTGTATCTGGCCAGAAAATTTTGATAATTCTACGTAGACATGTGTGGTGGAAGGTGGATAGCTTGTGTGCAACCTTTTGGTCATTCTCCAGCATTCCGCTTGATAAAGAAGAACTGGCAAAATGATGCTCTTGTAGAGTCGGAGTTTCGTTCCTCTGCAGTAATTGTTGGATTTCCAGATTTGCCTCATCCTTCCAAAAGCAGCTCTAGCTTTGTTCAGACGTGACTGTATGTCTTCCTCTGTCCCTCCCAGTAGGGACACCACACTGCCAAGATATGTGAAATGTTCTACATTTTCAAGTGATTGGTTACTTATGGTCACTGGTTGTTGGTTTGGACTGTTTGTCATGATCTTAGTTTTCTTTGTATGTATTCTCAGTCCAATCATTTCTGCTGTGCAGTTTAGTCTCTTACTTTTCTCTTGTAAATGTTCATGTTTATGATATAGGAGTGCTATATCATCTGCAAAATCAAGGTCCTCAAGCATGGTGAATGGAGTCCATCGTATGCCTCTTCATGTTCTGTCTACTGTGTTCTTTAGTATCCAATCAATCACAAGGTTGAAGAGGAGAGATGACATAACACATCCCTGTCTTACACCCGTCTTTACTGGCAAAGACGTATTGTAATTTTTTATACTGCAGGAAAAGTCTTTAAAGAAGAGAGCAATTATGTTGACTTTTTTTTCTGGAATTCCATAATATCGTAAAATTTCCCACAGACCGTCTCTATGGACGCTGTCAAAAGCTTTCTCAAAGTCCACAAAATTAATATATATACTTCTCTGCCATTCGTTGCATTGTTCTAAAATGTTACGTATGGCGAAGATGTGTTCATTTGTTCCTCTGCCCTTTCTGAATCCTGCTTGTTCCACTCGTAGGCATTTATCTACTCCTTTTTCAAGCCGCATTATGATGATTTTACAAAATATTTTGCTTGGTACTGAGAGTAGAGTAAGTCCCCTCCAATTATTGCAGTCTGTTTGGGCATGTGTGGTAAGAGTATTGTTATCATTGTGGGTGTTTGGTGAGAGTATTGTTATCATTGGGTATGTATTGTGAGAGTATTGTTATCACTGGTCATGTATGGTGAGAGTACTGTTATCACTGGGCATGTATAGTAAAAGTATTGTTATCACTGGGCATGTATGGTGAGAGTGTTGTTATCATTGAGCATGTATTGTGAGAGTATTGTTATCACTGGGCATGTATGGTGAGAGTGTTGTTATCATTGAGCATGTATTGTGAGAGTATAGTTATCATTGGGCATGTATGGTAAGAGTATTGTTATCATTTGACATGTCTAATGAGAGCATTTTTATCATTGGGCATGTCTAGTGAGAGTATTGTTATCATTGGGCTTGTCTATTGAGAGCATTTTTATCATTGGTCATGTCTAGTGAGAGTATTGTTATCATTGGACATGTCTAGTGAGAGCATTTTTATCATTGGTCATGTCTAGTGAGAGTATTGTTATCATTGGACATGTCTAGTGAGAGAATTTTTATCATTGGGCATGTCTAGTGAGAGTATTGTTATCATTGGACATGTCTAGTGAGAGTATTGTTATCATTTGACATGTCTAGTGAGAGTACTGTTTTCATTGGGAATGTTTGGTGACAGTATTGTTATCTTAGGAATGTTGACTGAATATATTTGTTGTTTTCAATCATATTAAGTTAATGCATTGTTGTCATCAGTAATATTGAGTGAGTGTATTTAATGAGAGGGGCATTATCATTAAACATGCTGAGTGAATATATTTATTGTCATTAATTAAGCTGAGCCAGTGTGCTGTTGTCACAAAACATGTTGAGTTAATATATTGTTGTCATCAGTCATGCTGAGTAAATGTACTGTTAAACTTAGCACTTTGGTACTACTCACGATTCTCACCCCATCTTGTTTGCCTATGTAATTTCATATTCGTTCCCACAGACTGTCCTATGTTTGAGGGTTGTCAAATGATGTTTGTTTTTAAGGTTTTAAGCACATTCACCACCGACGACAGCCACTGCCAGAGAGCGTAAAAATACAAAAACATGAATGAACCGATACTCAGGAACAGTAGCGCCTTCGGGGGCAGTAGTTCTGTGTGTAGAAGCGCCTGTTCGCGTGAGCTACTCACAACAGCAACTCATTCCACTGACAACAGTCGTTCACAGAAAAGGCAGTTGCGACTAGAAAGCTGCCTATTTCGTCTGGGACACAATATGGCGACCGATTCAAACGAACCCGAGACAGTTTTCAACAAGGTATGTTGACGTCGAAGAAAGGCATCTCATAACACCACCAGAACATAGGACAGTCCGTAAGAACGAATACGGAATCACGCAGGCAAACGAAATTTGGTGAGAATCATGAGTTGTTCCAGCATTTTTATTGAATGTATTTAGTCATTGCAGCAGTGTCATCCAAGGCAACAATTTGACGCTCGATTTCGCAATTCTTGAGACGAATCAGGAAGTATGCGAGAGACACACCATAGCAGACAAGACACAATATTATAGAAAATATAAGTAGAATAGATGAATAATTACAAACTCCTAAATGTCAATACACCAGCATCAAATAGTGGTGGTGGAGTTGGTGGTGGTGGTGGTGGAGTTGGTGGTGGTGGTGGTGGTGGTAATAATACCATAACTAAAATATAATAAGGATGACAGATACAATTTATAACTGGCGAACACAATGGGGAACACACACACACACACACACACACACACAACACACACACACACACACACACACACACAACACACACACACACACACAAACAAACACAAATAAAACAACAGAAAATATCAAAGAGGTGTCTCCCTGTAAAAAAATTGTGGACATATAAGAAACTTATTGTCGGTTTATTGCTTCTCTTTTTAACAGCTGAACAGATTTATTTATTTGCTTTCTTTTATTTAACAATTCACTGTTCGTATATTCCTGCTTTTTATTGTGTCTGTGTTTTGATCAAAAAGAAAATAACTTAAAGATTGACGTGGGGTTTATTTAAAAAAAATATATAACGTAATTCTGATCGCAGAAACAGCGTGAACGACCGACAATAACTATAATAAAAGCAATAGTGAACGATGAAATAGCTAAGAGTATTTCCATAAAGATCAGAAAATTGTATGGAAAATATCTAGAGATAAAGAACACATAACAAAAATAATTACTATAGATAATGGATACAACGTCTTACCGAATGGTGCAGAGGACCGGGCATTAAGAAACTAACAAGAAACTTAAATTTAGTCTCTTGAGGTAGATATACATTCGAATTGTCGTATTTCATAGAAACAAAAACAATTAAATACGGATTTTCTAGAACGAGAGAGAGAAAAAGATATGGGGGGGGGGGGGGGGACAACTTAAATGTGTCGGTCACATTACAAGATATAACACTCTTTAAAAACCACACCGGATGGAAAAGCCTAA